ATGGGTTTGAGTATACAGAGGACTTCAGTGTCTGCAAAGCGCTCAGGTCTTATGGCTGCAGAAAAAGCCCATATCATGAGCCCTGACGGTTGGTATATAAGGTGTTTGTTCTGATATGCTGTGTTTAGTTTCTGGCAAATGTGATTCTGTGCATTATTCCACTTGGTTTTGGTCTGTCCAAAGGACATTGTTTCAGAAGTCTTGTGGTTTTTTCAAATGCAACTTTGCAAACCCAAGCCATGCTGCTATGTATTTTGAGAAGAGGCTTTCTCCTGGCAACCTTTCCAGACAGTCTTTACTTGATCATTCTAGCTCTAATTGTACTGTCATTAACTTTAACACCTAACAGTTCACATTAATAATGATCAGTCCATCATGTCAATTTTATTAATAGCTCCTGACTGCTACTAATCCTTAATTCTTATAGAAGCAGTAGAGTATGATTAGTTTTTCACAGGCCTGCTTCTGCATCACGGTGTGATATTTCATGGTGTATACTTCATCTGAGGTTGCATTTGCCGAATTTTAAGGCGTGCTAAGGACCAGATTACATTCGGTGTACTATAACTGTTACCAACCCTGATTGGAGTGTTTGGTAGATTATCTCTCTACTGTCAAAGGTAAAAAAAAACCTAAAATAAAACAAAATCAGAGACCAGTCCTAACAAAGAACAACCTCAAAGACCACAAATCAAGACAAAGAAAGAACACAAAATATTCATGGCAAAAAAAAGTGAAGAACTGAAATGAGGAAGCTTAATTTGAAGGTCATTTCTGTAACTCTGGATTTCAAAAAGGCAAATCACCTCTAAAAATACTTCCAGGAGGAAGAGATGGGGCATTATTTATCCACATGCCACAACCTGACGGGCAATGAATGACCTAAAGCACAGAACATGCAAACATCCACATGCACATGCATCCAGTTTGATACAACTTTTCCAAGTATTATGCAAAATTTTCAAAATGTATAAAAAGATCATATTTTGATGATTACTATTTATGGAAACTTTCACGTTGGTAACACCAGACTGATTGGATTGATGCCACTGATCAAAGATATTTTGATGATGATTGTCACATTTCAGCAGCCAGTGTGTGCCAACAGTTAGCTGCAATGTTTTCAAGCAACTTAAAGAAGTCCAGACGCTTTTCTTTGCAAGCTCCTTTGACTACGATGACCTGGATGACTGAGAACCTTCACAGACATAGAAAGATAGTGCTGCATAGCTACTGCTCATCACACTTGCAAACCTCACTGGAACTTCTTTTTCTCCAGAAAACCGTTGTTAATATGTAAACTGCAATTACTTGTTGAGCTTTTACTGTTAATGTGTATAGTTATTAACCCCAATCCCAACTCTAACCTTAACTCTATCCCAGGGAATCAGAATACCGCTTCTTTCAGATTGTTCTCTTGCGAATCAGGGAACAAATACAATAATGATTCTGACTGACACACATCAAGGACTATCAATTTTTTATTGGTCTAAAATTAGAGTTAATGTAAAATTAACACCCATAATCACTCAGCTGAATTCAATTCAGTTTTATTTGTATACCACCAAATCAATTCAATTTTATGTAAAGACCCTACAATAATAGATAAACATCAAAACACCATGAAAAATTCCTAATCTGAAATGATCTCACTACCATCCTTTTACACCTCGAAGCTGGCCGTGCTTTAGGAGGCTTTGTTGGTAATAATAGTCATTATCTTCCTGTATAAATCGTTGGTTGTTACAATAAAAAGTGTCAGTTAAATGTATCATATAGGAGACACACACAGTGATATTTGAGAAGTGAAATGAAGTTTATTGGATTTACAGAAAGTGTGCAATAATTGTTTAAACAAAATCAGGCAGGTGCATAAATTTGGGCACTGTTGTCATTTTATTGATTCCAAAACCTTTAGAACTAATTATTGGAACTCAAATTGGCTTGGTAAGCTCAGTGACCCCTGACCTACATACACAGGTGAATCCAATAATGTGGAAGAGTATTTAATGGTGTCAATTGTAAGTTTCTCTCCTCTTTTAATTTTCTCTGAAGAGTAGCAACATGGGGGTCTCAAAACAACTCTCAAATGAGCTGAAGACAAAGATTGTTTAGGGGAAGGATACAGAAAGCTGTCTCAGAAATTTAAGCCATCTGTTTCCACAGTTAGGAACATGTTGAGAAAATGGAAGACCACAGGCTCAGTTCAAGTTAAGGCTCGAAGTGGCAGACCAAGAAATCTCGGATAGACAGAAGCGACGACTGGTGAGAACAGTCAGTCAACCCACAGACCAGCACCAAAGACCTACAACATCATCTTGCAGCAGATGGAGTCACTGTGCATCGTTCAACCATCGTTTGGCGCACTTTACACAAGGAGATGCTGCATGCGAGAGTGATGCAGAGGAAGCCTTTTCCACCCACAGCACAAACAGAGCCGCTTGAGGTTTGCTAAAGCACATTTGGACAAGCCAGCTTCATTCTGGAATAAGGTGCTGTGGACTGATGAAACTAAAATTGAGCTATTTGGGCATAACAAGGGGCGTTATGCATGGAGGAAAAAGAACACAGCATTCCAAGAAAAACACCTGCTACCTACAGTAAAATATGGTGGTGGTTCCATCATGCTGTGGGGCTGTGTGGCCAGTGCTGGGACTGGGAATCTTGTCAAAGTTGAGGTACACATGGATTCCACTCAGTATCAGCAGATTCTGGAACCCAATGTCCAGGAATCAGTGACAAAGCTGAAGCTGCACCGGGGCTGGATCTTTCAACAAGACAACGACCCAAAACACTGCTCAAAATCCACTAAGGCATTCGTGCAGAGGAACAAGTACAACGTTGTAACAACCAACGATTTATACAGGAAAATAATGACTATTAACAAGATTGCCCAAACTTTTGCATCCCACTTTATTAATGATTAGTTTCAAAATTACAAATGGTCTTTATGGACAACCACATAGCCCATTTTTTTCTTTTCCTTCTTACAGTTCGAAATGTGGGAGTTGGACAGAGGTTTTTTTCCTCCACATCTTCTTTTATTATACTTTTGTTTGTCTTGTATATTATTATGCATCTTCTAAGGGGAAATTCCTAGTATTGAGCCGTCCCCATGGTGTTACGTGATGTGCGAGATAAACAAACTGTGCATTGTTGACAGAAGCCGGTTGGGTTACTGAGCACTGGATCGTGTACTGTAGAGAGCAGGGCTTTTGAGTTTTGCAGAAAGACAGGCAAGAGGATATTTTGTTAACTGTCTTGTCAAGGGGTAGTGAACTTGTGGACTGGACATCTGCGACACACTTATTTCTCGCTCACAATAAGAAGACTTTTGCCGTTTAAAATTGCATCTGGTTAAATCAAGGGAAAACCAAGCTCATGTTATTCTCAAATGGCAAAGACTTGTTCGCTATGTCTCCTAAGATTAAAACTATAATGATCTAGGGATCATTATAGATCAGAATTTGTCATTTAAAACTCACATTCAAAGGCTTGTGTCGAAGTTAAAACTAAAATTAAGTTACTTTTTTAGAAATCAATCCTGTTTCTCCTTCCAAGTGAGAAAACACTTGCTTCGTGCAAGTTTTTTTACCTTTATTGGATTATGGTGACCTGCTTTTTATGAATGCACCTGCCCACTACCTAAAGAGGTTGGATACTGTCTACCATTGTGCTTTACGTTTTATTACTGGCTATAGAAATCGTGTACATCATCGTTCTTTGTATGCTGCTGCTAAATGTCCATCTATGCATATTTGCAGACTCTCCCATTGGTTGGTCTTATTTATGTATTTACATGTGTAAAAACCACAACCAACCACAGCCTTCATTCTCACAATTTCATACAATTGATTGTCCCAAAAATCAGAAAAGGACTGGGGGGAAAGCTTTTAAATACGCTGCCCCTGCTTCCTGGAATAATCTGCAGAAGGAACTGAAATTATCCGAATTGGTTACATCAATTAGAGATTACGTTCATCTTAAAGGAATGAGAGAATAACTCTTTTACTCAGTGTGACTGTTTTTGATGTCGCTCTCAATTGATCTGTTATTGTATTCACATGTTCATACGGGATATTGTATTTGTTTTAAATGTTATATACTTAGGTAGTACATGTATTTTGACTTTTGTTGCCATGATGCCAGGTCTCGCTTGGAAATGAGATTTTTAATCTCAGTGAGATTTTTACCTGGATAAATAAAGGACTAATAATAAATTAAAAAAAAATACAGTTTACTGGCAGATGTTTGTCGGTCCCTTTCTAAGCTGACATTATGTTTCAGCTGTTGTTATAATTTTTTTTTTAAATCTAATGTCTTTTGCAGTTAAAATACATTCTTAGAAAACACCTACATGCCCATTTATCCTGTTTGAACCTGGTGAGTTCACTGGTTATGACATCCTCCATTGTCTTAATGCTTGTATATATATACAGTAGATTGCCCTGATGTCTTCCAATTGTTTGCATAGACAGTTTACAATACAGCTGACAGTAAGTTCACACACAAGAACTGTAAGCTAGCTATTATTACGAGGAAGGCATTATCCTTGTGATGACCACAGCTGAGCTTATTTCCTTCTTTAACACAGGACTTTGCACTTTGCCGCTTAGTGTTTGCTCCTGTCAGCACTGCGGTGTGTGTGGTGTGTGTTTGCTTTTATGTGATTAGAAATTATTAAGGTGAGCTCAAATGGCATCCAGCGTTTCTCTGTAAGCGATAGGCTCTGTTCATCAGTGCCATAGGCGCTCTTCAGTAAACAAATCTCTGCCTCACTCATTAACAGAGAGAGGGGCTCCTGTGTGTGGCGCGAGTACACACCGAGCTAGCTGTTCAGGGTAAACAAACATTACTAACACCCAGAGGGTAAATATAAGAGATGGGCATTAATCATGGCTTTACTGACTGATTGTTTTTGAGTGTGTGTTTGTGTGGGTGTTAGTGACTATGTGTGTGGGTGTTTTGTGTCCTTTAACTCAGTTTGCATCAGCCTGTGAGTCGAATCCTTGAGAGCTTGTCTTTCAGGTTTTCCTGCACGCCCACACGCCAGCACTTGGACATAAACACCCACAGGGCGTGGAAAATGCCTGACACGTTTATAGAACAGTTTTTTCCTTTTAGAGTCAGTCCGCTGCTCTGGCTGCAAAAGGTGTGTGCTCAGTCCACCTGCTCCACTGAGAGCTGTCATCTTTGTGGCAGCCAACATCATTACGCTTTAAAACACACTCAGTAGACCCAGCATGGCGGAGGAATGTGTCCCCGAGGATTTAGACCTGAAAGGGATGGGTGAGGAGGAGCTGTGGGAGCTGATTAATGACAACCGCCATCGGATCTCGCTAGGAGTGCGGCCGTGCATCTTGATCCCGTACCTGAGGCAGGCCAGGGTTCTCAGTGAGATGGACGAGGACGAGATCCTTTCCTGCCACAACCTCACAAACCGCTGCATGAGAACGAGTGAGATTTTCATTGTTTTCATGGATTTTAAAGTCAGTTGAAACTCTGTCCATGAGATGATACAGTAGACTGCTGAGTTAACCACTTAGAAAAGTGTAGCAGCAACATATAAAATCATCATGTCACACTGACAGAGTTTAGGTGTATCTGTAAAAACAAAATTCTTCAGATTTAGAATTGTGATTATTTGCATCGCTGCTGTTGCTTGATGACATTAACTCAAAGGTTAATTTGGAAGTCTCATTGTAATCTACTATTTCTAGGCCACATGCTGGATCTGCTGAGAACCCAGGGAAAGAATGGTGGTATGGCCTTGCTGGAGAGCTTAATGATTCACTACCCAGCACTCTACACCCAGGTGACTGGACGCAAACCCAGCACTGAGCCCTCAAGATTCAGTGGTGAGTGGCTCAAAGTCTTAGTATGTCTTATGGATGTGTTTGTTCTCTTTGTTCTGCTGACTGCAATCCTTGCACTCTCTTTCAGGCCTGATAAAATACTCAGAGCTGACTGAGTATCTGGTCAGAGCCGTCACAGGGATGCAGAAAGAGCTGCAGGAGGCCCGTAACGAGGCCAGCAAATTGAGAGCACACTGCGCCTCTCTGGAGGCAGACATCAGTCAGATGATGGAGCAGGAGATGAAGTCCAGAACCCTGCGCACCGACAACGAACGGATCCAGAGACACTTGTGCTCTTTGCAACGTGAAGTCACCAAGCTGAAGGATGAGAAGTGTGACTTGTATATTCGCTACACAGCAGCAATCGAGGAGAAATCAGCTGTGAACGGGCGGCTCCACGAGCTAAACCTTCAGGTCAGCGGATGTCATTAGAGTCTGTTTGTTCACTGCAGGAGACCTTCTGTCTGAGTCTCAAAGCTGTCATCCCTGGGGAAAATCCTCAAAAGGCTGATGTTAAAGAAGTGAAATTAAAGCTTGAAAGGATTAGACAGTGCCAAGGGATGCTTTTTTTGTTTTGTGTTCACAGCCTGAAAAAAAGTTGTGTATTTTGCTGTGGTAAATGTTCTCCCGCTTGAGACTCAGACTCAAGTGACACCTCACAAGTAATCTGAGATAGGTATTTAGCAAAAAGTCTTTGCTATATACAGGAGCTATGGGGTTTAAGTTACCAGGCAGAACAAATGAAAGGCAAAAGTGGGAAGTGTTCAGGATCTTTCCTTCTGTAACATGTCACACTTTCCTTTTTTAAATTGTACTCTAATGATTGACCCATCCACTCAAAATCAAAGTCCTTCTGTCCTCCCTGCAGAAAGGGCTGCCATATTTATCCTCAAGCAAAGATAACAAGCAGGCTCCACAGTTCTTATATGCTGCATTTGGTTACACTGTCATGAATGCATTTATCTTTTTTTTTCTTTAAACTTTTAATCTTCAGATTTGACCTCTACAGATTCAAAACAAAAGGATATTGCAAAAGACTTTTCACTGGTTTCCTCTAAAGGCACAGCAAAAGCTCTAAACTGCACATATGAGGTGTTGTAAAGCTACTTCAGTATCTGCAGTTATTCCTCCCACAAGTCTCCAAATCTTGGAGAAGTATAGCGCTAAATTGCTGCTGTTTTTGTGTGAGACAGTACGTAGGCATGATGAAAGGTCATTTTGAATGTGGTCATAAAAGTCTTTTTTTCTAAATAACAAAATTGTTATTTCTATTATATTTCCCAGAAACATTGTTTAGTTGGGTGAGAGAACTTTTTTTATGACAGTAGATATTCATGTTTGAAAAGACTTTTGTTTAAAAAAAACATCGCCCTGCCCCTCCCTGAGCCTGGTTCTACCGCAGGTTTCTTCCTGTCAAAAGGGAGTTTTTCCTTTCCACTGTCGCCAAAGTGCTTGCTTGTAGGGGATAATTTGATAGTTGGGTTTTTCTCTGTATGTATTATTGTAGGGTCTACCTTACAATATAAAGCACCTTGAGGAGACTGTTGTTTTGATTTGGATAAATAACATTGAATTAAACTGAATTGAGCTGATGGGTAACAGAGAACTTGGTGAAAAGAGTCCTGTTTACTTCAATCATGCAAGCATATCAGAACTGACTTCAGATCATCAGAACTGTTTTGTCAAAGTCATTTCACCTCTGTTGTTTTCCAGCTGGTCAAAGTCATTTGATGAATTGAATATATTTCTCCTTTACTAGCATCTCTATCATTGAATCTAAAATCCTTGTCCTCACATAGTCAAGCCGAGGGTATTTAAAAGTAGAATAGGAGGCAAAGCCTGGCCTCTCTCCTGCGAATCAAGTTCCAAATTTGGATTTCTCTACCTTTAAGATTAGGCCTAACACATTCATTTTTCAAAAAGCTTGTAGTTAGCACTGGATCAGACGACTGTGAACCTTCCCTTAGTTCTGCTGCTGTAGTCTCAGGCTGCTGTGGGCTTCTTATAATGCCCTGAGCTTTTCTTTTCCCTTCACTGCTTCTCTCTCTCCTTGTTTTGTTTCTAGTAAACTCTGAACCTGGTTGCTTCCCACTGCCACCAAGTGCTTGCTCATCTGGGAATGGGGGTCATCTAATTCCTGAATTTAATTGAATTGTCTCCAGTGTCTCAGATTTACTGATTTACACTCTTTGTTTCTTACCACAGACTATAAAAAAACATAAAACACCTAATTAGATGTACAGTGTCTCAAGTCTTGTTTGTCTTGTGTGGTGGCAGGTGTATCAGCTGCAGACTGAGCTACAAAATGCCCAAGCAGAGAATGAATTCCAGAGGCAGCGGTCACTCAAGTCTGTTTGTCCTGAGTCACCACAGCTGCAAGATGAAGTCAGGAGCCTGCGCTGCCAGCTGGCGAAGGCAGAAAAACTAGACCCCGTGAGCGCAATTGTTCTTTTTTGTTTTTTAATATAGACCATTTTTTTCACTCATATTCTTTAGAAGGTGAGATCTTATTTGCTGCTCCTGTTGCATCAGGCTCGTCAGGACATCCTGGCTCAAGACCTGGCAGAGGCCATAGACAGTCAGGTGGAGCTAGCAGAGCAGCTCCGATCATACAGGGAGGAGAACGAACAGTTGCTCAGAGACAAAAAAAAGGTGTGTTTGTTTTGGTTTTTTTCCTTCAGTGGTTACAGTAACCAGATCAGGAAATGTCACACAAATTCAACCAGTTATCTCTGATGGAAAGTGAGCTTTTCAGACTCCCACTCAGCACCATGATGGGCAAAAGTATTCAGCTGCTACTTGGAGAGTTATTGTTACCTAACACTAATATAAATAAACCATGAAACCATGAATACCACATACTTCTTTATATAATAATTGACTTTCTAATGTAACATAGACTTAAAATTGAAGCTAAATTGGCAAAATATGCGTGTACTTGTCAGCTCTTGGATCAGAACGAGTCTCTGAGCCTCCAGGTGCAACAGCTGACTCTGGACTGCAAAATGCACCAGCAGAAGAGCGCTGTGATCCAGAACCAGATGAAAGCTCTCCAGGCCGAGAGAGACCAGGTAAGGAATTGACGACGGTGCCTCTAATCAATCTTTCCTGAATTTGATAAACAAATTAATTAACATTTTCAAGCTGCATTTTTCTGTTTTAGACTTTACTTTTACGGAGAGCATCGGTTTTGCTCTGGTTCATTGTTGCGTTGTTTCAGTGCTTTAAGTGTCAGATAATACGCCGTTCTTCTGTACTTGTCTGTTGTGTGCGTAGGTGTGTGTTTATGTGTCTTTGATAAAGGACACAGTGTACACGCCTCTCTGTTTTAAATAATACCTTTCTTTTAAAGGAGCGGTATTCTGTTTTTTTCTAACATGTTCTTACCTTCACATGAAAACATCATGAAGAAATGATCCACTTTAAAGTCATTTTACATCAGCTGTCATTAACTTGAACCCTTTCCTCTGAAAACAATGAATTAAAAAATTCTACCACACCCTAAAAACTGTCAGATTGCATTTAACAGCATTTAACTGCTTCACTGAAGCAGAGGAATTTGATTTGTTAGACAAGTCTCGAGCGGATGGTGTGACGCACACACAAGCTCGAGGAATGCAGGTGTTGGAGTTCCACAGCACAGAATAATTAAGATCAAGACAGTACCTTCAATTATATAACTACTTCTGTAGGCATAACATATTCAGACTTACACTGCTTATAGTTTGGCTTTGCTTGTTGTTTAAAGAAAAACTTTAATCTAGTGTAATTTGAAATTGTTTAAAAAAATTAAAAGACAATCAACTAATGACAAAAAATACTTACTTTACCTCACTGTGCTTTGTTTTCTACATGTATATGTATATTTGTATTTATTTGACGCTGCGCACAACATTTCCTCTGAGTTTTAATAACAAGTATCTCAAGTATTCTCAAGCAAAGAGGATAAAAAAATGCTCCTATTCCTACGAGTATTTCCTTGGAGAATCATGTTAGGCATACAGATGTCCATTTCAGTGTTTCAGTAAGAAACTCTGTCACCAAATGCAGGTTTATCACATTAAAAGTCTCTATGTTCAGGTTAGCCCAGATGGAAACTCTTTAAATCACTGATTTTTCTCCCTTTTTTCCCCAGTTTTTGAATACTGTCTGAAAATGCCAAAACATAAGAACTTTTTTTTCATGTAAATTATCAGAGCGTGATCAAAGTATATCTTACACACCTGAAAAATATAACTGACGCATTAACTATTTAACAAAGCTGTTTCCCAAACTAGAGCTTCTGATACTCTTGTCTCGCCCGGTTGTGCCTTAAAGTCTCCCACTTCCTGTTTCACTTCCTGTTTTCTGGTGGTGATTTAAAACATAATTGGACAATAGCTTTCCTAATAATCAATTAGTAACTCAGTGTGCCATTGGAACACCACAGAGATGCTTTCCACAGCATGTCTTTTATCCTGTCTTCCTTCTCTCACCCTAACCGGTCGCAGCAGATGGCCCCGCCCCTCCCTGAGCCTGGTTCTGCTGGAAGTTTCTTCCTGTTAAAAGGGAGTTTTTCCTTCCCACTGTCGCCAAAGTGCTTGCTCATAGGGGGTCATTTGATTGTTAGGTATGTATTATTGTAGGGTCTATCTTACAATATAAAGCGCCTTGAGGCAACTGTTGTTCTGATTTGGTGCTGTATAAATAAAATTGAATTAAATTGAATTATACCGTATATTTCATTAAAAACTATAAATAATTTAATATAATTATATTAATCATTCATTTAAAACCGATCAACTTGATGTCATAAAGAACATTTCTAAGTGTTGTGTTTTGGTATTTATATCTATATGAGGTTTTTCAAGTGAGTGATGTATTACTCACAATGACTTGGAAACACAGTACTTCTATTTTTAAGCTTCCATCGAGTATTGTTCCAGAGGTGTGTTTGCTGAAAGGTGCTGAAAAATAGATCGTTGTCTGCTGTTGGCGCCGCTTTGACAATCGACTGCATACCACATGCTTGTATCCAAGCCAGTATGTACTTTTGTATCTCAGCAAACAGAGGCCTAAACTTGGCTCAGCTGGGTCTGTGTGTCTGACTAAGAATCAAAGTAGTTTCATGCACAGTCAGCTAAACGGTTTTAAATAACTGTCAATCAGCGCTTTGGGTGCCTTGAAAAGCGCTATATAAATGCAATCCATTATTATTATTATTAATCATTCATGTGCTTCTAGGCTTATCAGTCCAGGGATGAGGCCCAGGCCATGATCGCACATGTCCTGGCTGAGAAGGACACCCTGCGGTGCCAGCTGGTGGAGCTACAGGAGAAGGTGTTCAGCTTACAGACCAAGTGCAGCTCTACAGAACTGCACCAGAGCTCCGAAGTAAATTTTTTAAACACACACATGCTCACGTATGCACAACACTTAGAGGAAAATGCTATTACTGACTAATTTCATGTCTACCCTAAGGAGACGGAGGGCGGCTGGGATAGTCTGAGTTCCAGCAGTGATGAATGCCCCGTATCATCTCGACGCAGACTCTGCCGCATGGATGCAATTAATCCTTCAATGGTTTCCTGCAGTTCAGAGGTGTGTGAGTGTGTGAAATAGCTGTGAAATGCTCTGTTAATTTTTCCCCACATGTAATAATATAATCACGTATTTTAAATCTGATGTTTTTGTACAGCTCTCCAGTTTCAAAGAATAGAGTTAATACAGTCACGAGGATTAGGGTCAACTCGTAGAAGTTAGATGAGGTGGAGGCAAGGCTGTGGCTGGCTGACGTGTGGAGTGGCTGAGGAGTTTTTGCTTTGTAGCCTGGAATGATTCTAAGGAGTCATCTCAGGCACAAAGAAAACAGTGCAGACAAAAAGCAACAAGAGAAACTAGGGCTTCTTGTCTAGCGGCCTGATGAACACTGTGGCCACTTTGGTAGACTCAGTAATGCAGTGAGTAATGGATGAAATCTACAGCTGCCAAGCTGAATAGACAAAGAGTAGGTGTGGCCGGTCAGGCAAACAGTAAGAGTGACTAAAGAACCACACCTGAGCACATCAACACAAATCCCTCTTTTCTTCCACTCACTGCCAGCAGAGGGTGGTTAGATTCATTTCTAAAATGGACAAAATCTGTAGGATGCACCTACCAGTCTCTGTTAGTGCTTCCAACAATGCACCCAACAGTTTTATAGTGGCAACTCTTCGCCATGAGTAAAAAGTTATTTATTTATGGCGTTCAACTGCATGCAACCAATATTAAATTGGGTGCTGGCACATTATCAGTGGGAAAAAAAGGTGAGATGGAGACAAAACCAGTCACTAGTGACAACCACCAGAGTTCAAATACCATCATGTGTGATCAAAGCCTGATAGCACTGCTCTTGAGATTAATAATGAAAAACCCTGACATATCAGTTAACCGCAGTGCACAGAGTGGTATGTTCCTGCTTTCTCATTCAAACTACACACTTGTGACATACTGTCGCTTTTCCTGCAGTCATGATTTTATGTTCTGTGTCTGTGTTGGCCGTGTATATTGGCTTGTGTGTGTAGTGTGAAGATGGTGCTACGTGTAGCATGCGGTCCCGAAACGCTGAGCCTCCCAGTCCAGACTCTCTCCGCCGAAGGAAGGAAATTCTGTATGCAGAGAGCAGGTATGCCTGTGTTTCCTAGAAGTGCATATCAAAATCTCATAATTTCTTACTGACATTATGAGATTTTGGGAAACATTTCACCAGAACGGATGAATGAGCAGTGTTGCTGAACTCTGCATTCCTTTCTGTGTTCATATCATGGCACAGTTTCAGGTTGATTATTGATTTACAACACAAAAAGAAAGAAAGTGCAATCGAGAGCTAATTAAAGAACACAAGTTTGTTGAGGAGCCACAGAAGTTCTATTGAAATCACAAATTGAGTAGACTTTATATACTTGTCACAGTGTCTTGCTGTTGTCATAGCAACCCACCAAACCAGTCTGTAGACATTATCTCCATTTATCACACGCTTCTTTGCGAAGTAAACTCAGTGTAAAATGCATACCGTCATTGTTGTGTGCATCCATATTTGTTGGATCTGATAAGGGCACTTGTCTGTATTTTTTTTCTTGTAGCTCAGAGGCAGCAGAGACTGACAGTCTATTGGACGACTTTGTGTTGCTCCCCAGCGGTGTGTATTGAAAGCATTATTCTTCTTTAAATTACTGTATATGTGTGCAGAGATATCAGAACGAGACCTTCTTTCCTTCTTGCTCTCACCCACAACTGGAACGGCAGATAGCTGCCCGTTCCTGAGCCTAGTTCTGCCAGATTTTTCTTCCTGTTACAAAGGAGTTTTTCTTTCCCACTGTCACCAAGTGCTTTCTCTATTCTCCATATTTCTCATAGGGGATCATCTGATCACTGGTGTTTTCTCTCTATTATTGTAGTACATTCTTTACCTTATAGCTGTTGTTTGAGGGGAGTTTCATTTGCTTTTGTCCCCTGTTGTATCTTTGCCAACGTAGAGTGACACATTAACCCCAACACATTATTTCCTGGGAAACAACCGTGATGTCCAATCATTAAACATTCTCTCTTTTGTCCAGTGGTGAACAAGAGCATGCAGACATTCGGGCTTTCCTCTCGTAGGAGGTCCAGCTCTCACAGGTGAGACAGTGACACGAATTTTTAAATAGAATTAGATTCTACTCTGCCCAAAGGGTATGGACACTTTTAAGGCCAATCATAAATCTAATGCAGGCTATTAATCACAGGGCATACAGGACATTGTTGATCACTAGCTGGTGAAGTGAATGGTAAATGGCCTGTATTTATATAGCGCTTACTAGTCCTAAGGACCCAAAGCGCTTTACATATCCAGTCATCCACCATTCACACACAATCACACACTGATGATGGCAAGCTACATTGTAGCCACAGCCACCCTGGGCGCACTGACAGAGGCGAGGCTGCCGAACACTGGCGCCACCGGCCTCTGACCACCACCAGTAGGCAACGGTGAAGTGTCTTGCCCAAGGACACAACGACCGAGACTGTCCAAGCCGGGCTCAAACCGGCAACCTTCCGATTACAAGGCGAACTCCCAACTCTTGAGCCACGATCGCCTTAGTGAAGAGTGAAAACAACTCTTCAACAGTTGAGAATTTTACACCACAATAAAAAACCTCCTCAGTGTCTCAGATCACATTCTTCCACACTTACTTCTTACACTTAGTAACTTGGGATCATATGTCCATGTATAAAAAAAAAAAAGTGCTCTACAAATAACCGGATATTGTTAGTGTGCACTGCTGTAGCAAAATCAGTCCAGGAGAGCAGGTCCACTTTCTACTAATCCCAGTGTGCAGGAATTATTTGTAATTATTAGTGATCAATATTTGCTAAATAGCTTGAATAACTTCCCTAATTTTTCATCGTCAGCCTGTCAAGATCCTCAGTCCCTCCCTTCCTGATGCGTTCTCGTCCAAAAGCGATCCGTGTCAGTGGCAGAGTTCTCAGCATCTCCTTCCAGGGTGAGGCGCTCCTCAGCCAGCTGGCAGTAGTGGGGGGCAATAAGACGGGAGTGTTTGTGCATCAGGTGACTGAAGGCAGCGCAGCTCACACTGTTGGCATCAGCCCCGGGGCTCAGATAGTGGAGGTAGGTGCAAATGTGTGCGTAAAAGCAGTTTTTCTCCTTATCACCTGTTGTGAAAACGCTGTTGGTCTGCAGGTGAAGTACGAGAAGAATCAGAAGGCTCTGAGGATGGTGCTGGAAGATTCCACTTTAGAGGAAGCCATGTGGGCTCTTGGCCAGGTTGCAGGCATCTGTCATCTCTCCCTCCGCCCCAGGCAAGATGGTACGTCATATTTCTTGTACTGATTCATCGAGAACTTACACACGAATTGCGTCAGATTTCCATATAACTTGCACCATAACCGGAACACCATTTTACTGTAACCCTGCATCGCAGCCTTCTATGTAGCTTGGCGTGCCTCCTGAGAAATGTGACTACATGTCGGGTCAGCGCATACCACAACCACTTAAAGGCTGCGGTATAGGGATAAAAAGAGTTTCCAGTTGCTACGCAAGTTAGGAAGTAAATTTCCCGCAAAGCCTAAATGAAGTTTTAGTCTCATCTTGAATCACTTATATGCCGTTTTAGTGGAGATGTTAGATCTCGCTCTATGACTTGTCTGCAGTCTTGAAGCCAAATTGTTCTATGTTATTTTTTTCTTCCACACTATTATCTAAACTTACTGAAGCTGTAAAAATGCCCATAAACATGTAAGAGTATTGGCAGTACTGTATTATACTTTGTGTTTGTTTTACACGCGTAGCCGTGAAATAAGACTTTATGGTTACAGCTGACTTCAGGAAGGAGGCAGCTTTGGTTGACATTAAAAGGATGCCTGACATGAGGAAGTAGAAACTGGATATGGTGAACATGCTGCATTCATGAGGGTGTTTTTGTTTTGCGTCAAGCAAAGAATTCAGCTCTGAAACCTGTCATTTTGAAAAAGTAAACCACATTTTTTGGCACGTATCCGAAGACAGAACATAATAAAAAAAGCAGGGCCTGCATGGTTGACATAATAAAATGATTGTTTGTTTGCTATTCCCTCTCCTTCACGCGTTGCATCACAAACTGGTCTTTTAAATGTTCTCAGCAGATTTTTTATGCATGTACATGAACTCAAAGTTCTCATGTATTCAGAAACCACACCTGATTTGATTTCCCCGTCTTCTTGTGCACATCTGGCCCGCTCTGGCTTGGATGCTACTTAGTGACTGCACCCTGGCAGTCCACTTCTGACCACTTCTGCATTTTCACCATGACCCTCAAACTATCGAGTAAAATCTTAATTTTTATTGCGTGGATCATTGCTCGCGAGGAGAGCAGAGTGTTCAAGGAAGTTCAGTTTGAAGGAGTGCTGTTTTTGCTACTCTGGAGAAGCTCCAGCCCTCATCACAGACACACAGGTGTAAGTGATCAAAACGGGACGAGCTTTGAAAGGGATCTGATAAAATAAGGTCTAGTATAGGTTTAGTTTTTATCTGTGAATTTTATAAACGCATCTTTACAGGTAAGGCTTGTGCTTATGTTGGGTGTGAGGATTAAGCACAGGAGGTAATAAAGTACAGTTACCATGAAAGTATATTGTTCTTTAAACTTGACATTATGTTAGTTCTGGGATGAAATGTAGAGCATGTACAGCAACTGACATCAGTTCTGAATATCATCCACATGGTGTGTACTGCAGAGTGTCAGTCCAGTGGTTTAACGTCCTCTTCTGTCTGCTCAGACTACGAGGCGCTGCTGCAACAGCTGCAGAGCAGTGAGACATCATCAGGAGACTCCTTCTACGTACGTGTCAACATGTCCCTCCCTGCCGGCCCCGGAGGAACCCTGGCTGTGTCCTGTAACGACATCCTGCATGTGACGAACACGCGGCCCGCCGGCACCGAGGACTCGTGGCACGCCAGTCACGTTCACCCGTGTCAGCAGCTGGACCTCCAGAGCGGAACTGTTCCCAATTATTACAGGTTGGTGCACTGATGAATGAAAAGTTCAGGTTCACAAAAGGCAACTGTGCGCTCTTCAGATTATTCGAGAATGGAGTCAGATCACTACTCACTGATTTCTTGATGTCACAGGGCACAGCGGCTTCTGATTCGAGCTATTGAGGATATGAGCTTTGAAGCAAAGAAGTCTGAAAAGGTAAGAATAAACTAAAGCACTGGGTTTTTGTTGCTTAGTTTAGTTTTTTTCACAAGTTACATCTTTCCCCTAATTAACTCCTGGGAATATTCTTCTGCTTCGTCAGGGTGAGCGTGTGATGACCCAGAATACACAGAAGACTGTGAGGATTGTCAGCACTGGGCGCCAGGGCAGGAACCCACTGTGGGTCAGCGTGGAGGAGGAGAAGAGCGCGAGTGCAGAATCAAGTACAGTAACCCCAGTGGTCACAAAACAGCAGAATTACTCGGGGCCTCATATTCTACAAACAGCCAGTGAATCTCAGCTTTAACTGCACTTAAAAAAGAGATCTATGGAAATATTAGTGAGATATAAACATTTGCACTGTCTATTCTTTCCACTGCAGATGCAACATCTGCACCCAAAAGTTGTGTAACTCTCATGCCCTACACCCTGGTGACGCCACGCTATCCGCCTGTCTGCAGGCCTGTCCTGCTGCTGCCCTCGGTGCTGGGACGCATCCTGGACAAGAAGCTGGCCAGCTGGCAGGGCTTTCAGCTCTGTGAGCCTGGTAAGAAATGCTCTGTCGATATAAGCTGACATGAAATCTTATGTGAATCTCGGCTACAGAATAAACAGCTGAAGACAAATTGTTAGATAAGCGGGAGGGACACGGTTTCCTGAGCTGACTCATGTTTTATGGGCGAGATTGCTCATACACCTCCCACTCTATTTACGATTTCATGCTGTAATGGAAGCATAGTAAATAACCGGTCTCATACTGTACAATGGAGTTTGTGTGTTACTGTAAACCAGGAAGGAAATAAATATCAATAAAAGGAGGACAGCAGCCATAAAGTGTAAATCTTTACCATCATTACAGAAACATAGGCGTAGAATATTTAGAGGAAATAACAGGCTACACCAAACGAAATCATTTAATGTGTGTTTCCAATAATACACAGCATTATCTTGTGTGTTATAATCTCTTTCCTCTCTGCTTCAGAGGTGCTGAGCTCCAGTGAGCATGCAGCCCAGCTCCAGAGGTCTGAGATCCTGGAGGAGGTTGAGCAGGGTGGGAGCCGCTGCTACACCCTGCAGAGTGTCGAGAAGGTCATGAAGAAGGTCAGAGCAAAGAAGGAAGCTGTGGTCAACAAACTGTGTGCAATGCTAAACAGATGATGGCCAGTTGAGCCGCAACTTTTGTACAAATATGAATGAGATTTATGTTGTAAAACTTACATTTTGGTTATCTGATGACTTTAGCACCATCATCAGGTTTAAACCAGTATTTTACTTTATCACAGTGCCAGAGATTCTTTAAAATGTATTTCATGTAACAGCACTGCGCTTAAATCACACTTAAGCTAATTTTATTTATTTCTTCATAACCTGCAGGGCATCCACTGCGTGCTGCCTTTAGGCCTCGACTGCGTGCGCCGGCTGCAGCGCTCTGAGATCTTCCCCATTATCATCTTCATTGGCCAGTCTGCACGTAGCGCACGTAAACTGAGGTAGATTCGTCTTCTTCATCTCACGCAATGCCACCTCATGCTTCTGATATTACATTTTTCTTCCGATTGTAAGCAGCGAGAGAATGCTGGGCAAAAATAATGAGTCAACATTTTTCCCAGAAAACCTTCCTTGTTTTTCCAGTTAGACTCCATGGCACACAGATTCATTCACAAATATCTTAGAGTTGTAATTTAACTTCATATTTTCAGACAAGTAAAACAAAATACAAAAGGGACTGATGTATTCATGTATAGAGTTTAATGGGAAAATTCCTTTTTTAACTAATCTCACCTTTATTAGTGCAGCAATAGCAGAGACAGGAAATCAGGGATCAGCTGCTCAACCACTGAGCTCCAGATTTTTTTTATTGTTGAATAAAGAGCCCAGGCCAGTTGTGCAATTATGCCTACTAAGTAAACACATTTTGTCATACTTACAGATCAGTTACTTCAACTGTATGTACAAACAATATCAGCAAGTCTAAAGCAAAAACATTTCCTTCCTATTCTATGTGAGCGACTTTTAGAAAAATAAATAAGTGTAAAGAAATGTGTTGATATTACTTCATGTTAATACAAAAGTTCATAAAAGCAGGAGGTTATAGTTTATTTATCTAACTTTTACGTTAGGTCAAAGCTGCACCGTCACAGTCAGACAGAGGAGCAGCTGCTGGCGTGTTCGAGGAGCGAGGAGCCGCTGCTGGACAAGCTGCCGTGTCTGTATCACAGCGTGGATCCAGAATCCTGGTGTGACCAGACCTCCCTGCTGACCAGCCTGCGCACCATCATCTGGGAGGAGCAAAAGAAGATTGTGTGGGTGGAGCCTGACCTGTGGTAGGGCAAGAAAAGGCAACAGAAGAAAAACTCAGAGCATTTATGTAAATAATGGAAATTTCTTTAAGGGCTTTTTGTTTACTGGATCATGAAAAAACACATTAATATTAAATGGATAAATAAGCTTTACAAGAAAACTTTTTGTAAACACGAGTATGTATCTGTGATACTTTATGAGTAACTGGAGGACCGTTTAGTGTGCATGTAGCTGCATTACTTACTGAGAAACGTGTTTTACGCTGCCTCCTTTTTTTGACTTATTTGTTTAAAACAAACATGTGTAGTGTCCTCTAAAGACACAGGTTTTGTCATGAAACACACGCTTGCATTTACTGCATCTGTACAAAATGTAGATAATTTTTCATTTTCTATGTTTTCTTGCTTACATGCTGTGTTTTGTAAGTCACACCCTTGATTTAGAATAAAATAATAATAATCTGAGCTGTTGTGTCACGTGGAGTTTCAAAGTGAGATTTCATTGGAGATGGTGCATTCTTTGGTGCGAGTGTGAAATGAAGTGCTGTAAGTACAGATAAGTGAATGTTGTTTGTCGAGACAGCGCACGCCGGGCACTATTACAGGTGTTTTGTTTGTTTTTTTGAAATTAAGCACAGCTGCAGAGCATCATGTGATTGGTTTAGCTTGTCACAAACAGCCTGTTCCTTTAATTTTTTGAGCAGTGTATTACCTGTGTTAGCAGTAAATCTAAACAATATCAAAAGACATTGCTGACTTGTAGAGGAAGTGAAGAAAAATCTCTCCAGGGTGTGGATCTTCAGAGAATATCAGCGCAAAATAAATCCTCCTGCAAATATCGAAAAAAGGAAGGAAAAACACAAGAAGAAACTTTTGCACAGTAATACGTTTCTGTGGAGCAGATGTAAAGAAGTCTTATTCCTTGTATCCGTCCCTAAAGCCCCTCACTGGTGCCAGCCACACTGTTTGTCACAGAAACTCTCAGAAATTTTCATCCAGATTGGTCCACTTGTCTAAGAGGAGGGGAACATATAAATATGTATAGACGCACTAGAATAATTATAGTATGATTTTTGTTATTATTAGTGAGCAGTGTATTTAAATGTTCATTGGTCACATTCATTAATCAACTGAAAGCCTTTTCAAGCAGAGACACACAGCATTTATACATTCAAATGTGAGAATTTGGTGTCTGCCTATAAACTTGTATTATTTATTGATCTAATGGAAACATGGACAACAAACCAGATGTTAATCCAACAAGTTTATTATCATGGAAATTTAGGAAATTCATTTAGGAAATGAAATTTAGAAAAATACGTGTGAACTATGCTTTGTTTGCCGTCGTTTTCTTTAACCCGTTCTTTTAAAGACTAAGCTTTGGGATGTGAGGAGAACATGTGCTCCAGATTCCAGACTATGTTTCATCACATGTTTTTGGAATGTAATTCTGAAAAAGTTTTCCTCGGGTGACAGGTCTCCTGCTCTGACACTGGGACCCACTCATATGCCAGTTCAGCACAGGAGCAGCACAGACACACAACCTCTTATTCCACTCTCACATTCACACCGCGGGTGAAAAATCGCCAGTGAACCCTGAAGGATGACGTTGGACTGTGGGAGGAAACCGGAACAGGGCAGGTGGCGCTCCAAGGATTTATTTTTGAGTTATTTTGATGTGGTACTGCCACCTAGTGGACGAAAGGAAGAAATGAAAGAACAAATATAGAAATGATTGTATAAAGTTGAAAAATTAAACGAAAATTCTGCTACTAAAGTTTCATAAGTTTCATAAGATCATATTTACTGCTTTAGCCAAGCAGTGAAGCCCAGTCTGGAAATGACTGTTTTCACTGCTCTGCTTGCAAACAACTCAGTCTAACTTTTACTCCTGTATTCCTGTTTTTGCCCAGGTTTTTTTTATTGTGCATGACAGGTTGTGTGATTGCAGATTAAATTTAAATTCCGACATGATATCTGACACAAAGGAACACCGAACCCTGTAGAACAAGAAAGTCAAACTCATTTTATATCACGGGAGTCATGGAGCCCACTTTGATCCTGAGTGGGCCGGACCAGCGCAACTCTGCTTTCTTAACTACGCATTTAATTCCTGAGATATCTAAATATAAGTAACAGAAGAGCAGTAAGTCAGACTTTCTACAGAATAAGAAATTTGTCACCATGACTGTTTGGGCTTAAACTGTAAGAAATAAATGTGTAAAATTACAGTAAATATTCAGTAAATATTCAATAGACTGTCCTGTAATTATAAAACTGAACTCACAGAAAAAGTCCTTTTTTGTAGAAAATTTATAAAAAACAAATAAGCAAATTTCTATAATCAATAGTGAAAAATCAGGAACTTTTCAGTTATTTAGTTACGGTAGTGTAGTGTGAATGCCCCTGTAGGGAGGTCTTCATTCGCTCAAAAAACTGGAAAACCTATAACCATTGTTCCATATGGTCAGTTTCACTGTTTCACTATATTTTCAGTACTGATAAAGGGATGCTGGGATGCTGCAAAGGAAAAAAACACAAGTATTAAACAAAAAGTATTAAACTATTCCACTTCGTAAATCTGAAAACGGTCTTACAGCTGACCTGTGTGGGCAGAAGAACACAGAATATCATTTACCATTAGATCCCGAATAATCAGCGGATCGAATTTACATACTGTCACTAACTCTGGACATTTTTGAATGTTTGCCATTTATGCTTAATATTTATCTAAATCAGTATTACATACTGTAAGATTCAAACATTAAGACAGATTTGATCTTTTGTTGCATTAATTGTTGCATTTAGAAGGACATTTCAATATTGTACATTACAGATCTGAGAGAAGGAAAAAAAACAAGCTGAAAATGATTTGTGGTGTTGCAGAAATGTATGACTGCACATGTTTTCATTATGAACTAATATCTATCATTTGACTAAAATCTTAAAAGCTGTAAATGAATTGGCTCACTTAAAAAAAAAAAGGAGCTTGATTGCCGACATGTGTTTTGCACTGTGGGTCCCCTGTGGTGCTCTGAACCAGAAAGACCCACAAATACTTATGTAATGAGGTCAAATGCAAACATAACTTAGAAATAAATAAATAAATTTAGTGAATTTAAAATACCTACGTCCTTTTCCCCCCATCACTTTACAGGCACTGTTTTCTTGCAAAGTAGGATGAGTATGATGATGTAGCAGCTTTACCTTTTCTAAAGGTTTATTTTGTTTTTTTTTCAGGCCTGAAAAGTTGATGGGATACTGCCATCACCCTGCCAGCCAGATGGGTACCGTGGTCACCCAGCTTTGTGAACACAACAAGGCAATGTAGAGTTTTACGCTGATACCAGAGGTGCGTCAACTAAGAATCTCAGATGAGGTTGAATCTGTCAAGTTCAGAGGTAAAGCTTTCTGAATATTTTGTGAGCACAACAACTCAAGAAAGATCTGATCTAGGATTTCCAAATTAACACCATAAGTATTTCATAAAAGTCTCATAAAAGTGGAAACGTCAAGGCTGGAGGTGAAGGTTTCTGAAAATCTTGTGAATGCGTAAAAAAATCGCTAATTCCTAAGAAGTTAACGCAATCGTTTTGTTAAACCCCTTCAAGTATAAGGGAAATGTAATTAAAGGGGAAAAATTACAAAAATCTTCCAAATATTTAGGGACCTAAGAGTAAATAAAGTTCAGCACTATAACATTATGACCACATGAGGGCAACAGGAGATCTCCAAAAATGTCACCTGCAGTTTTGGAGGATAAAATATCATAGAATTTTATCCTCCAAAAATTTCCACAGATTGAAAGTTGACAGATTGATTGAAAGTTCACCTGCTGGAGCGAGTTCCCATGGAAATTCATTTTTTTGTTCCTTTATAATGGAAGAGAGCAAATTAAATGGAGACAAACAGAAGCTTTTTTATATTATTACATGAATAAAATAAATCATTAGTATTGATTTGGAGTCAGACATACTGTCAACAAATATTACTACACCGTTTTTTTGTGTCTATTACATGAAGCTATCCTGCTGTTGTCTGTTCTCCTCGATGCTGCTCTCTTTTTCTCGGGAGCTCGCCCCCACCTCTCCCCCCAGCAGAGGAGGAAGAGCTGAGACAAGTGAACAACAAGCCAAAGCCAGGCAGACAGGAGACTGTATAGGTGGGTGTTTTCCCCTTTTTTATGTTGAGTGCTCTCGCTCCGCGGCGCTCAGTTCGTGTGCTCTCTTTTAGGGCGTACCTTCGATAACGTAGAGGTGTTTTTTGTTGTTTCATCCCAACTCTTTCTGATATTTGGATCGTGTCAGCGCAGCAGCGGCGACAGCGGCAGAGGCTAAGCTAGGCTAGGCCTGAATCTCCCATCTCAAATACTTATGGACTTTGCAAAACAAACCTAACAGTCTCCAGGATCGGTAATGGTTTGCCTTATGGTGTTTATTTTATTTTATTTTGTTTTACCTTTTGCTCGATGCAAGTGTTTAGGATTTGTTGAAGGCAGGTTTTGTTTTTCTTAGTGAACTTGATTGTTGTAGACACCGCGCTAGCAGGCTAGTGAGGCGCAGTAGAAGCTAATTACGTTAGCACTGGCTTGATGAATAACTCTTGTAGAGTGAGGCTCGGGGAAAGTTTAAGAAAACTCATAACATGAAGGTTTGAACTGGAGAGGCAAGGGTATAAACGTACTATGCACTCCGTAAACACGGGACTTTGTGGTTTGAATGGTTTGTGGTTTTGGTGAGCTGGAAGGTGTGCAGTGCTATTACATTACACGTCGAATCTTCTGTTTACGAAAACGGCGAGGTTTTAATGAACAGCTTCGTATTGCCGTTTTTCCCCGAGCTAGCTAGGGGGCTATCCAGAGCAGGTGAGAGAGAACAAGGAAGTGGCCAGGCACCTGGCTGACCGCATCGTAGCTTTTAGTGGAGTCAAAGTCCAATCTCGGCTTATCAATTTCCTATTATGTTACACCTGAAACGCCCATTCTCGGTGGACTCTTGGCGCTTCCAGGTGTTCCAGCGCCTACGGTGTGTGCTTGTGCTTTTAATTTCGTTCATTTTAGTCACTGTTTATTGTTTCTGCAGCTGTCTTTTGATGTGGTTTGCCAGGTAGAGGAGGAGAGAGACGGGATTTGTGGTGCTGGTTGTTGTGGTGGCGGATCAACGGCAGCCAAGGACAAAAGCAAGAACCTGTTGTGTAGGTCTGGACGGGGTGTGGTAAGGTGGCTGGCTGGAAAGGCAGGCGGGAAGGTGTGCTGGTTCCTTAGTTATTCTGCCCCTTGTGCAGACGCTTACAACATAGACGTCTTCTCAATTTACTGTTTTACAACTTATTTACAGAGGTAAAACAGTAAATTGCCAGAGGGAGCAGGTGTGTGTGTCCCTGTTTAGAGTGAGCTTTGAGCTTTCAGTTTGCTTCATGTGGCTTCGTTGTGATGTTAAGAAAAACATTAATATCAC